TAAAAGGGTAATATGCAAACTGACCCTAACAGCAGAAAGACTGGGAATGACTGGTCACTATGACACACACTGACCACCAGGGGGCAGACGCTCAATGCAGGAGCTGCCCTCTAGTGGTCAGTGTGCTCCCACAGGGGGAGCTCTGCTCAGCCACAAGCCAGGCTGACGGCTGCCAGCACAGCAGTGGTGGTGGTGGGAGCCTCTCCCGCCTCCTCAGCAGCACTAAGGATGTCCGACTGCAGCTTAGGTCTGCTCCCCGCTGGCAAGTGGACATCCCCTGAGGGCTGTCGGGCTGCCAGAAGCATGTCTGATTGCCAGCTTAGGCCCAATGCCCTGGGGAGCAGGCCTAAGCCAGCAGGTGGTCATCCCCCGAGAGATCCCAGACTGCGAGAGGGCACAGGCCGGGCTGAGGGACCTTCCCCCCGCCCCCAGTGCACAAATTTTTGTGCACCGGGCCTCTAGTCTATATATAAAAGCCTAAGTGACCGTTAGAACTGAAAGACTGGTTGACCTGTCACTATGATGAGCACTGACCACCTAGGGGCAGATGCTCAATGCAGGAGCTGCCCCCTGGTGGTCAGGGAGCTTGTTCAGCCACAACCCGGGCTGGCCTGAGGGGATTGGGCTGAAACCAGCAATCCAACATACCCCCGAGGGGTCCCAGATTGCGAGAGGGGGCAGGCTAGGCTGAGGGACCTCACCTGTGCACGAATCTGTGCACCAGGCCCCTAGTTATAAATAAACATATACAGTGGGGCCTTGACTTACGAGTGTCCCAACTAACGAGTTTTTCGAGATACAAGCCGTCTCTCGGCCGATTTTTTGCTTTGAGTTGAGAGCTAAAATTCGGATTACGAGCCAGCTTCAGATACCCCACTGCTAGTTGGCGCAGCAAACGTCACAGTGAACGCCACAACATCAGCCCAGCATCACGTGTCTCACTCGTTCACAATTGATTTGACATACGAGTAATTTGAGTTACGAGCTCTGTCACGGAACGAATTAAACTCGTAAGTCAAGGCCCCACTGTACAGTCATACAATCACCACAAGAACAGTTTTAGAACATGTCTATTGCCCCCGAATTCCCTCAAGCTTATTTATGGTCTATCCCTGTGCCCATACCAAATATACCACACTTTATTAATCTGCTGACCAGCTGATGACATTTGATTGTTTCCAATTAATACCTATTATAATAATGTTTCTATGAACATTTGCATACAAGGCTTCATGAGGATGTATGTATTCATTTCTCTTGGATAGATTCCTACAAGTGGAATCGCTGGGTCATGTGGTAAATTTATGTTTAACTTTATAAGAAAAAACCTGTTTTATAAAGTGGTGATACCACTTTATAGCCCACCAGCAATGTAGGCAGGTTTCTCATAATGTAATTTTTTTTTGGCAACAACCATTCTTGCGGTCATGTAGTGGTATATTATTCTGGTTTGAATTACTATGTATTTCTATAATTAATTATGACATTGAGTACCTTTTCATGTGATTATTAGCCAACTGTATGTCCTTTTGGTAAAATGTTGTACTAGTTAATTTATGTGTCAACTTGAAAGGGCCACAGGATGCCCAGATATTTAGCCAAATATTACTTGAAGTGCATCTGTGATGTTGTTTCTGGATGAGATTGACATTTGAATCAGCAGACTAAGTAAAGCAAATT